GCTTGGTCATGCTTTTTGGCCTCACAAACAACCATCCACCTTCCAAAGCCTAATGAACCACATTTGGCCCTTATCTCCGGAAGTTTGTTTTGGCCTCTTCTTCGATGATATCTTAATATATAGTAAGAGCTAGGTGGAGCATATTCATCATGTCCGCTTAGTTTTTTATGTCCTCCAAGCACATGGGTTATTTCTTAAACGCTCCAAATGTTGTTTTGGAACTAATAGTGTGTGGTATTTGGGTCACATGATTCACGGAAAAGGTTGACCAGGAAAATGTTAAAGCCATCCAAGACTGGCCTCTGCCTGGGACACTCTCGACGTTGCGTGGGTTTCTAGGTCTGGCTGGCTACTATGTAAATTTATCAAAATATATAGGGAGGTTGCCTTACCACTCACTCAGCTCTTAAAGAAACATTCATTCTGTTGGATCGAGGAGGTCACCGGTGCCTTTAACAAACTTACACATTGCTTAGCCACATCTCTTGTACTTCAAGAGGAGTGGCTTTGGGGCAGTTTTGCAACAAGAGGGTCATCCCGTCGTATATTTCAGCCGCAAGATAGCTGACCGTCATATCAAATTGGCCGCATACAAGCGAGAACTGATCGGGTTGGCCAAGGCAGTAAGCCAGTAACCCATTGGCGACCGTACCTCTGGGGCAGGAATTTTTAATTCATAATTCATACTAATAATTCTAGCTTGAGGCACTTATTGGAGCAACACTTAACGACTTCTCCCCAACAACATTCGCTCAATAAGTTGATGGAGTATAATTTCCGGTCAGAACACAAACCTGGTCGGTACAACACAGTTGCAGATGCCTTATCTCGCCGTGACGAGTCTCACCCTCACATAGCCTCACATAGCTGCTTTGTCCATTCCTTATACAATTATACAACATTACTTGAGGATATCCATAAGGAACAAGCTGCCTCGTCTGTAGTGTAGCCAAAAGCGCGCGCTTGAGCGCACCAGGCAAGGCGCATGTGAGGGTCAGCGCCTGTTAGAGTCCCAGCTGCAGTCACCTGAGTGAGGCGCAGCAGTAAGCGCAGAAGCTCTGAAGCGCTGAAAAGTGCACGCTTAAGTTGCCTGTCCTGGGAAAGGCTTATCAGCCTATTTATTTGTTTGATCCTACTTTAAATAGCAAGTCCATAATAGGTCAAAACAACTTAAAAACATGTTAAACCCTTCTAAGTCACGGTAAAATCCTTCTATAGCGTGACATCATCATTACTCTCCTATTCTCTACTCACGCAACCGGTTCAGCGCTAAAATAGCATTCAACGATCAACCCACAGAAGCCAGCAAGTAAGCAACCCATAAGGGGTCTTCTTCATCATCTTCCCATGTTCTTTCTTCTTTCTTTTTCAGATTGTAGTCCTCATTTATTTTGTCATTTTCTTGGTGATCCTTCCCTTTTATTCTTTCAGTCTATCTTCTTCTTGTACTTTTATAGTTCTCTTTGCTTCTTATATATTCTACACAGCTCAAACATATTACATGTATCTGACTATGCATACTTTATAGTTCTCTTTGCATACTTTATAGTTCTCTTTGCTTCTTATATATTCCATACTTTATAGTTCTCTTTGCTTCTTATATATTCCATACTTTATAGTTCTCTTTGCTTCTTATGTATTCTATACTTTATAGTTCTCTTTGCTTCATAATTCTATACTTTATACTTCTCTTTGGTTCATCTTATTTTACGGTATGCAAGTCTATAACTTTATATCTTCCTATTATCGTTTCATTCTTTATTTGTATAAAACCTCATATAATCTAACTTAGTTAATAATTTCATACACTACACAATTTATGCTACCCCTAGTCCCCAAACTGCAAAATAACCTAAAACAGACCCCACTCGGTGTTTTGTTTTTGTGAACCATGTCTTTATTTTTGTGGATTGTGACTTTGCTTTTGAGAAACATGACTTTTTATTGCATTTAGTTCAATATGATGTTGAATATGTCATATTTGATCACTCTAGAATCGTATACATAATATTTTCTAAATAGAGCGCTTGACATGACTCATGAGTCTGGCGAGCACTTTTTTGCTCTTTCGCCTCAGGCGATATAAATACTCCAGTTCCTTGAATGCGCCTCGCGAGTCGCGACTTTGACTGCCTTGCTCGTCCAAAACCGGAGCTCTTTGACGCCATCTTGATGAAGGTGCCTTGGGAACAAAGTGGGCATATCGAGAGGGGTTGCTATTTTTCCAATATAAGGTGTACTTACTCCCAGCCTTTACCGCTCCAACTATAGTCAATTTGTTCCACTCCATGGCCCATGAAGGTAGTGCTAAGACATTACACCAGGTGCGTCGAGAATTTTATTGGTCTCGCATGAAAAAAACATCACTGACCATGTACGGGATTGCCAAGTGTGTCAACAACACAAATGGCTGAACCTTCAGCCTGCAAGTTTAATACCGCCCCTGCCCATTCCTCATCACATTTGGGCAGATATATCCATGGACTTCATTGAGGGATTACCCAAGGTTCGGGAGAAATCAGTTTTTTTTTGTGGTTGTGGATTGATTGTCTAAGGCTGCTCATTTCATTGCACTAGCACATCCGTTTAGAGTTGTTTCAGTGGAAGCTGTCTTCTTCTCTGTCTTTGTGGATCCTACATGAGATTTTCCCGATTTCGATCTTGAGGACAAGCTTGTTGTCCACGGGGGGAGTGATGATATGGGTCGGTTTGGCTGAGTCTACCAGAGGCGGTCAAAGGAGGGATCAGCTTGAGTGGTCCACAGTATTTTAATTAATTAAATCCGTTTCCTACTTTGAGTCTATTACAAGTTTACTTATTCATGCTTCCTTATACTAGTTTAGGAGCTTCTTTATTACTTCTTTCCTATTATTGTTTTAGGAAACTTGTCTTTTGCCTATTTAAGGCTTATCAGTTGGAATAAAAAGATCAGCTTTGGATATTAATTTTTATTTGGTGCACGGTGGAACCTACGACAACTCCTTGCCGAGAGCGGGAGACAATTAATATTTCAGACACCATAGATTCATATTTTTCTCATTCTTCTCAGAATCATCGACCTTGGACGATATCATGTACCAAGGCCCTTAACATGAGGCACTTATTTTGATACGCCCAAAAAAGGAAAGTGTAACACTTATTTTGATACAGATGGATCATACGCTAACAATTTCTGCTTATAAGATCCTTATTAGTCATATACATAATGCAAAACAAGATGCCAGAAAATGGACAATTGGCACTACAAATTTTGAGGTCCATCTTGTTCAATTGTTTTATCCTATACAATGCAATTTGTATAATGTGTTATCCTTTATAGTGCCCTAGAACTTCTTACTTCCATAGATCATTACCGCACTAGTACTAACCACTAACCGGTAGGGCAGATGAGCGGAGAAAGTATAAAGAAAAGAAAGAACTGAGAAAAATAGAAGTAGTCAACTTTCATTGTTTCACCACTTCTAAACGCTGATATAACCAGAATCGTTATATTGCTCTTGCACATAACTGGAAGCATAAAGGTTGTCATATTTCTAAACCCTAGGTTTCTATACAGGGTAGATACTAAAAGAAGTTGATCAAGTATTATCAAAATTACCTGCTTTGCTCAATTTTTATTTTAAATGTTTTCAAATTTGATCCAGTCGACTACTCACCTGGTAAAACGAGTCACAGAGTAACGAAAAATCACATAGGACTAGCCAAGTAACTCGGTTTTACAAATTGTTCCTAGTAGTTAAGCTATTCGACATGGCCTAGGGCTGAGTGCTGACTAGTAAGTAATCACTGAGACTAATCGCCAATTAAATAGCATAGCAGAGACAAATTAACTAAATTATAGTTACTCCATGTCTAGGCCTCATTCCATCTTCACATACTCTACTTCCCAATGTAAAAACAGAGTCTTGTACATAGGGCAGTAATGGCATTGTAACATTTTCATTTCCCATAAGTCTTGGCAAAGTTCATGATAATGGATTATAATTATAGTTTTAGAGAGTGAATTTTGAATAATGCACACAACTTAAATAATCTAGCAAGTCTTTCAGAATCTGTATTCTATAATCTTTGCCAAACATAAAGAAAGTCCATTAATGGATGTGGACATCCACTAATCACATTATTGGAGTATTTTGAGTGCAAATTTAGCACTACAAAAAGCAAAATGCAAAGTGGAGTAAAATTGGATGTGAATAACATACATAATGAATTGTTTGATTGCACGCAAATGCACTCTCATATATAAATGAAGGTACTGAAAGAGATGTGACATAGAGAATCAATACCGGTATGCTAAAATGCAAAGGGGAAAAATGTATACTATGCAATAGCAAGATCTATTCCTAAAATTTAAAAGCAAATTTTTATAGGAATATTATAAGATTACTACAAGACAGACTTTATTGTACTGATCAGAATATTTGTCCATTTAAGAAAGACTTAATAAAGATGATGAGTGTGGCGGAGAGACTTAGGATAAGATAGATGACTACGATAAGTAGTAAGATAAAGATTAAATTTGTTACAAGGATATTCCCTTGGACAGGAAGGGGCATCCCCCCAATTTTTTTCCTTGTGTGTGTACACATAAATACTTATAATATATTAGAATAATAATTGAAATATGAAACTTTTAGCATTAATCTTCCAAGCTCCAAACCCCTTAATACAACAGTTCTGGCAGAACTCTGCCACTGTTACATAATACGTATGGATGGTATACGACAGAAGAAATTGAAAAATATGGATTTTGGTGAATCTTACTCTAACAATTTTATATTGATTCATAATTAAGAGTTAAGACTAAATTGTTGTTTTATAAATACACCTATGAAAAAAAAGCAATTGAATATTGACTATCAAAGTTAAAATCCAATATGGACCAATTGATGAAATAGTATACACCTAAGTTTAATACTCCGTATGAGCAAAGAAGCAAATAAAGCGAATTCTCCAGCTAATTTCACAAAACTGGTGTTTATGACAGTAAAACTAGGTACCTTTACGACCAAAAAAGCAAGTTCCCAAAGATGAAGCCTTCACATTGACCACTACCCTATTGTAGTTACATGACGGAGCAAACAGAGTTGAAGATGTGCTTATTCCTGCTATGGGTGCTCTTAGTGCCATTTCCTTATCTGCCAAAGAAAGGAATTTGTCTTTATTTACAAGGGAAGAGTGTTTGTGTTCTCAGGGGCATTCAAGGGGGGCAAAATTTAATTAAATAATGTACATTGCAATGAAAAAAGTCAAAATGTAATATAATAATGTCTATTTAACGAAATTTATTTTGAGGTACACAATAACATCCATTGCAAGTTGCAACAAAAAATCAAAGATGTTCACAATGGGATTACTTGTTACTACATTAATACTAAATAACTAAATCATTAGATAAATAATAACAAATCACAATCAAATTCATACTACAATAAATGATGTTCACAAATGACAAATTAGAACTTACAAATGACAAATCACATTCATAATAAATGTTAAAACTTGAATAGTGAAATGACTCAAATAAGAGGTAAACATGAACATAAAGCCATAAATTATGGAAGGGTCTAAACCTCAAAGTCTAACATCTGAAAGAGTGAAAGTATAAAGAATAAAACCATTAATTAAAGGACTTTTAAAAAACATAAATTAAAGGCTTAAAGGAGTTAAAGGCTCCCTGAAAAATACTAATTTATAGAAATAGTATTTAAACAGCTAAACCATTAACCTGGAATTCTGGAAAGTGAAAACCATTAACAAACTTAATAAGGATGTAATTTAGGCTTAACAGTTACACAAACTTAACAAACCCTCCCCGACAATTATTTATCTGGAATTCTGGTTTCTGGAAATAAGACTGTAATTTATCCTCTACAGTAAAAGAGGCAAACAACTAAATGGCTAAGATCATATAAATGGGTAAGATAAAATTAACCATTAACAAAATTACCGTAGAAGACAGAAATGGCGCACAGTCCAAGAGTAGAGCTGTTCAGGAGTCGCTCAAAGGTGCTCAGCAGCAGTTGCGCTGACCTTCTGATGGCCGACCAGCTACCCGGCGTGAGACGTGATCGGCGAAAACAAAAAACCCAATCAAAACTAGAGGTGCCCCAAAACTTGCTATCTTATAGCAGACAACTCACGCAACCGCACAGAGGTGTGTCCCGGGATACCCGTCGGTCAGCAGCTAAAGAAAGAAGAGGAATTGGATGCCCGGAAAAGCCTTAAAATGTACCGGGTTTTAAAATTATTATTAGTTTATTTTAGTTATCCCAAATTATCCTAAAATTCACAAACTTATCCAATTCTTTCACTTTTATCAAAAAACAAAAATACTCAAACAACATCTTTTCAACAATTGTGATTTTCTTCTTTCTTTTTTCAAAATTACAAATTTAATCAATACCAATAAGATATAAGCAATACAAGTTTATAAATTTAAAACTAGAAAGAAGTGAAAAATATGAAATATAAATATGATATTATTTTTAAGTTTTACTAATTCATCTATTCAAAGTGTAATTGAGAGAAAATCTGAATCTTTTTTAATAAAAGTAAAAGTATAGGATAGATTTGTGAATATGATGATAGTTGAGGATATATTTAGGCATTTAGCTAATAATCCTTTTTTTAATAAAAAAAACATGTTTAAAACCCCGACCCGGACCAAACCCGGTTTGGTTAATTAAAACCCCGAAAATGGTCAAAAATCGGAAAAACCCAGCCGGGCCGGCAAACCCGGTCCAAATTCGGACCCGAAAACCAGATAAACCCGAAAAAAAACGGTTTTGGTTGTTTTTCCGAATTTTTTAAACAAATTTGCATTTATAATCAATAAAATTGCAATTTCAAATACCCTAAAAGCCAAAAAAAATATGCAATATATTTATATGCTACTTATTTGTTTAAGAATAAAAAACATATCAAATTATATAATAAATGTCCAAAAAATATAACAAATATGGAGTATCATTATATATTTTATTAAGATCAAAATGTTATTTTTGATCACTATGAGACTTTTTTAACTTTTAAGTGTTTAGTAAGTATTATTCTTAGGTGATTATTATGAAATAATAACCTTTTATTTTAATTTTGCATACAATCATATGTTTATTATCGTTAAATGGTTGACCGATTTTAGCGATGACCGGGTTGACCCGAGACCCAGTCACGCGGCCAGGTCGCTTCTCGGTCCGATTTCTTAAACATAGGTTTAAAGCGAAAAATAATGTCAGTTCGTTTAAAAAGGAAATAAACTCTTATTTCTCATATAAAATGTATATTTTCTGTATTTTACAAAAAATAGAAACATAAATTTTTCAATTGAATGAATGCATTAAATTCATATAAGATCAACAATATTTTAAAAGCAAAAAGAAAAACATCCTCCATGCGATCCTGTGTTTTTGTATTGTTACAATACAATATATATACAATTATTAAATACTAAAATTTATTGTATGAAACATAAAGTCAGCATCCTACTAGACCAATACTTAAAATACTACCATGTACTAGATTTTTTATGTTTTTCCAAACAGCATATCAAAATTAAGGTTGTTATAAACCTGTCATCTTTTTAGTATAAACTTTTACAGATGAACAATAATAAGTGTAGTAATCACAAATCTCTCTCAAGTTCGTCCTTGTTCTTGAAAGCTACATCTACACATCTTCACATCTTGTACGGAGTACGTTGGAGGAAGACCTTTGAGCTCTTTCAAAGTATTCTTCTTGTAAAAGAAGGGCGCCAAACTACGCAGGACCTCGGGGGGGGGGGGGGGGGGGGGGGTCCTGGGGGGCAAGTGCCCCCGCTTTCGACCCCAAAATTTATTATTATTATTTAAGATAAAAATCATGGCCCCGCTTTACGGACAAAAAATAGATATAGGGATAACTTCGTCGAAGAGCATATATATATATTCTTTTTAGCATAAGCTTTTACATATGAACAATAATAAGTGTAGTAATCACAAATTTCTCTCAAGTTCATCCTTGTTCTTCAACCTCTATGAAAGCTACATCTACACATCTTGTACGGATTATGTTGGAGGAAGAACTTTGAACTCTTTCAAAGTATTCTTCTTGTAAAAGAAGGGCGCCAAACAGTGGAGGACCTCGGGGGGGGGGGGGGGGGGGGTCCTGGGGGCAAGTGCCCCCGCTTTCAACCCCAAAATTTAGTATTATTATTTAAGATAAAAATCGTGCCCCCGCTTTACAGAAAAAAAAATAGATATAGGGATATGTTCATCGAAGAGCACAATATAAATTGTAGTGAAAATACAAATGATAAACAAGTTGTGATGGAGCGGTCCCATGCAGTTAGACATGTTGATATGATAACTAAACTTTCTTTGAAATGTGGCTTGGTGATTTTTTTGACTAAGTATGAATCATGGTGGTCTAAAGTCAGAAAATATTTAAGATATGACAAAACTTCTAATATGTGGGATTAACTTATTGGATGGAAAACTTTTGTTCTTTAAAAAAAATATATACATGAAAAGATTTGTCAATTCGTGATAGACGGATAGACCTTTTGGTTTTTTGTAATGCAATATGATATAAGTTATATACTTCGTATATGAAATCATATTATTAGATCAAGTTGTATTGAAGGATGAAATAACAAAATTAAACTATACGTAGTACTTCATTTTTTTAACCTGGTAGTATTTTGATACAATGGTATTGATGGGTTCAAAACTAGACATGTAATCTATATATGTCCTTGAAACTAACATTGAATAGTCTATTTCCAATTAAAAGTAATAATCTAAAGAATAATTTTGAAAATACTTTTACACTGAATTTTTCATTTTAAAATATTAGAACATTGTTTAAATTTGGGGTGAGCAAGGGCCTACGTTAGCCCTCCCCTAGATCCGCTCATAGACCACAGATGCACCCGACCCGAGCCATTCTCATCCATGCCACTGTGCCCCCGCTTTAGAAAACTTCTTGGTCTGCCACTGGCGCCAAAGTAACCGGAGTGAGGTGGAGGTACTTCGAGAAAGCTCATTAAAAAGGGCAGTCATCCGGAAGCAAGGAAGTGCATCTTGGGTGACAATGACAATACTCTTGAAGAAGGCGTGGAGAGCTTCTTAGGTGCTACGGACTAAGCGTTGTAAAGAGTATTTACAAGCTTAGTGGAAAATGGACTAGAGAAACGAGATGTTCCTTGAACCACTATAAAAATCTCTGGTGTCTTTACTTACTGCCTTTATTTCTTGCACTTGGGATTCCAACTGCGTTCCTCTAAGGGGGTGTTTGGAACTGATTCTGCTTCTGCTTCTTTTTTAAAGCAGAAGCAGAATCAGAATCAGTTTTCAGAAGCTGCTACCCCCCAGCTTCTAAAAAAATTGATTCTAGGAGTAAACTAGAGCACCAGAATCACTTCTGCATTTTCACCCAAACACTCCAACTTCTGGTCTGCTCCCTGAAGGAGCAGAAGCAGTTTTAAGAATTAGATCCAAACACCCCCTAAAATGTGTAGTGTTTGTGTTCAATGGAATACGCCTTGAGAGTAGTAGAAAGTTTATTTGCCTTTGGCGTGTTCTATAGGCTACCTGACCAGAACTGACATTCCGCTGGAGGTTTGTTCTGTTCAGAACAATGTCACTTCTGTGAGGCAAACAGTTTTCTCTCTCAAGAAAAGAGAAACCAAGACATTTATTACTTGCCTTAGTCATGTATTTACGTTTCTTAAGGAGTAACATTATTAGGAATATTTTGTGGTAGATTCTATGGTACCCTTAAGGTACCATATCTATGTCCACATGGACCAATTAAAATGATGTAGTTGAATTATTTAAATCTAAATTAAAAATGATGTAATGATTTGAACCAATCAGGTGAGTGGTAGGTACGGTACCCCATTTTTTAAATGGGTACCGGAGTTGTCACCTAATATTATACGCCCTTCACCCGTAATTCTCCCAAACGTACGGAGAAACGTACTACTCATGCCACCCACACCGGTTTTTTCATCTTTGTCGTAATATTGCTCTTGAAAATGTTCTTTACCTGTCAAAGGGCCTTACATGCAACCTGGCTAAATTAATTGATGATTTAAAGTGTCATATTTTATTTACTAATGAGTTTTGTGTGATACAGGACCTACCTACGAAGATCCCGATTGGATTGGGTAAACGGCGTGACAGAGTCTATAATTTTGTTGATGCGAGTCCGGCAATTGCTTCTGCAGTGGCAGTTCAAGAGGCGAAGGATTTGTGGCATGCTCGGTTAGGACATCCATCGTCACAAGTTCTTCGCATGATCCCTTCGTTACCCAAGTCTTTATCTACTACAACTAGTAATAAACTTTGTGATACTTGTATGAGAGCAAAACAAACTCGTGATGTATTTGAACCTTCTCTTAGCTTGCTCATGCTAATAATGCATTTGATTTGATTCACTGTGATGTTTGGGGACCAGATCGCATCCCGTCCAGCTGTGGCGCGAGTTATTATCTTGCTATTGTCAATGATTATTCTAGAGCTATTTGGGTACAATTACTTCTTGAAAAGATCAGAGCAAAGTTCAATCAGCGGGTGCTGAAACGTTTTTTTTTGCCATGATTAAAACACAGTTTTCATAAAATGTGTGCATTGTTAGAAGTGATAATGGGACCGAATTTATGTGTTTCAAAGATTATTTTGTGGATCCTAGAATTCTTTTGCAAACGACACACCACAACAAAATGGAAGGGTGGAACGAAAGCATCGTCACATTTTAAACGTTGCCCGAGCTCTTCGGTTTCATGCTAATTATTTAGCGTTGGGAGAATGTGTTGTTACACCATCCCAGATTATTTAATTAATCGCATTCCCTCTCCCAATTAACACCAATGGGAAAAGCCCCTATGAGCTCCTTCATCTTATACAAATTTACATTGTCTTGGGTGTTTGTGTTAATCGAGGCCATGACAAATTAATTCAGCTGCACTCACGAAGTCTCAAATGTGTGTTTCTAGATCGGTTATTCTTCTACACAAGGGGTGGAAGGTGTATGACTTGGAAATGAGTGGTATATTAATTGTTTCCAGGGATGTTCACGGTTATTTTTTCGATTCAGGACAAAATTCTCTTTCCTACCACGTCACTACATATGATATGATGACCTTGAAGTTCCCATGCATGCACTCTCCAGCAACATGCCAAACTCCATGCAGCTCACGCCATCTCTTGATACTAAGCTAGTCCACGACGCGAGGAGCTGGACGCCCCATGGCCGGAGCAGTTACGA